AGGTGCTTTTATCTTGTGTACTTGTCAATTTTGTTAAACGCTAAAGTGTTGAATAAATATTGTTTTCATTGTGTCCAGTCTCTTTCTCTGCTTTAAACTCAGTAAATAAGGAGAACTCAGTTTAACTCTGTAATACATTTTCTGTAAAACTTCATGTTACCTTGCAGATCCTCCTACCCTATTACTCGAAGGGAAATCAGTGAATCTGAGAATACCAAGTTATTCAAAACTACTGAAATGTAATATGTATCTAGAACCGACCAACCTTCTGTCATAAGTATTAGTTATTTTAAACACTTTCAACCTACTAGTTGATTACATAATATTCTAAATCAATTTTTTTTTCTACCATTACTCTCTATTGTGTGCACAAAATTATGATTATATAAAACTAATCTATATTACTTAGGAATAAAAATAGGCCTAAGTTCTACAGCATTTAGTAAGGCTCAGGATTATTAACGTAAATATACGTAAAAAGCTATCAGGCATTTCAAACTGGTAACCTGGTCAGTTTGAAATTTTCTGTCTTTCTTGTGGGATGGGTGTACACATGTTTGTTGCAAAGAGTTTTAGGTTAAATCCTTCCTTTTGTAAAGGGTTTATTTTAAGTCAGACCACTAATTTTTTAAGCTGTGGTCGAAACTACTCATTAATGCAATTTTATTAGTAGTATTTTTTATTGAAATTCCAGTATACGTATACTTTGAAGTTTCGAATAAATAGACTCGAGCAACCTGCTGATTCGTTTTAGAGAAAGTAGACATTGTATTATTTCACCATAGTGGTACATCTCTTGGCACAATGTTTCATTCTGCTTGTTCTTTCTGTATAAATAAATAAATATAAAGTTCACCGAGGCATCAGAAAATTATACTAATTTTCACATATTACTCCTGGTAATATTAGTATGATTGATAATTCATTGCTCTAAAGCTTTTGAGCCAGACGTTTGTTGTTTGTTTGATGTTAAACCGAAAAACTACACAATAGGCTACATGGGCTATCTGTGCTCTGCCCAGCACGCGTATCAAAACCAGATTTTTAGCATTATGAGACTTACTGTTAAGCCACTGGGGATCGGGGGGGGGGTAGTTGAAAATAAATTTAGAGCTGTGTTCAAAATGCAGAATAACAATAGCTTTTTCTTATTTTTTCGACTCATGACCAATAAAACAGTATATATATATATATAAGCATTTTTGTAATATTTTCATATATCTTAAAGACCACGGTTCTTCTTGCTTAATTCACTACTTTGACTATTCACTGTACGGAAAGAAAGCTATTAAGCTTGTATGGTACTATCTGTAGTTGTAGTATAACCAGGTAAAGCTAGAGTAACTTTAAAGCAATGGGATGCGTCTGCAGAGTAATATGAAATTCAATCGAAATATTTATTCTATGTTAAATCTCCGAATAATTGAGTCGTGATAACGAATGAAAGAAAAAGACTGGGCAGAAAGTAAAATAAGAAATGAATGTTTTTTATGAAAATAGTTTTAACACAATCATACTCCGTCTACTTGTTTTTAAGGGGCAACGAACTGTCACTTTTACTCGTTCTATGAAGATTTCTACCAGACTGTCTAAATCCTTACTTCGCAAGGAATTTCGTCTTTACTTTCACTTAGCGACTAATGCTTACCACGTGACTGGTCATTCTTATTCAAACATAGGTGAGGTCGTAACCTCGAGATTGAAGGACACTGCTGTCGACATCCTTGCACAACGTACAGTATTGTAGCAATACATCTATGGACAGGAAGAACAGAATAACAAAGGCAGCTATAACGAAATAAACGGCTTTCTCAACAAGGTGTTATATGAAACCTGCACATATACGGAATAAAGAATAAATTCAGAGTTAACAGTACAATATTACAAGAAAATAGAAATGTATGGTATATTCATATACCAAACTGTTGAAGATAAAACTGAAATCTTCCAGGCATACTAATAAAAATATGCATATTTCCAAATACTATCTATCACCAATCAATCTAGGTAGAGAACACAGCTGTTAGATTTTAACTTTTCCATGTACACATTGTTTTGAAGAAGGCATTATATTATAGCTGTTCAAATGAAATATGAAATGGTTTCTTTTTTTTGTTAAGATAGAAAAATATCGAAATCACAAAACAAGAAATCCGATAACTTAAGCCTTTCGAAAAGTAGACCTCACTTCTTCAGGTGAGAATTGTGTTGTTGGTTTTTTGTTCTATGATCTGTATTTTTTCTGTCCTACGCGAATACTTAATATCATAAATTAACATAGTGTTCTTGTTTTGTTTGTTTGGAATTAAGCACAAAGCTACACAATGGGCTATCTAGGCGTTGCCCACCACGGGTATCGAAACTCGGTTTTTAGCGTTGTAAGTCCGCAGACATACCGCTGTGCCACTGGGGGGAGGCAGATAGTATACATGTCCGTAGCTAAATTGAAAATTTAACTGAAGTCCAAACACCGACAAACGCATAGGGTCAGGCTTAGATATTATATACCTTTTCCATATGGGTATAAAACTAAATAGTACGTTAAATTTAATTTCAAATTTAAACCAAGGTCCGGACCTTGGTGACCTCATAGCCAGTAGCTACGGCCATGTTAGTATGTCGTTTAAGTGCTTTGGTCTCTGTCGTTTTCTATAAATGAAGTGTAATAGTAACTTTTCTCTTTCCTTAATTTAGTATAAAAATAAATCTGATCTTTGCAGCACATATTTTTGGATCATAATGAATGGAAATTTTAATTAAAAGCAGACAGTTTTATTTGAAGTATCAGTTTATTACAGTAATGAACAACTACCTGAACCTTTGCACTAAGCATAATTTTTATGCATTTTTTCATACCCATACAAGTGACGATTTTTTTAGACTCAGTGTAAATTGCTTATATCGTTTATCTTACAAAAGGCGCATGTGGCATCAAAGAACTAGAGGCAGACTGGTTTGTTTGTTTTTGAATTTCGCGCAAAGCTACACGAGGGATATCTGCGCTAGCCGTCCCTAATTTAGCAGTGTAAGACTAGAAGGAAGGCAGCTAGTCATCACCACCCACCGCCAACTC